CGTTTTCTTAATCCTTAAATGCACTTGGACAGGGTGACCCTATACGTTAGACCCTCTTTATTATTATTGTTAATTATCTCTCAAGATGCATTAATCATCTTTTTTATAGAGCATCCGTCCTTTTATTTTAGAACTAAATTTTTACATAATTTTTAAAATTTGAGCTTTACTAATGACTTTATATTTTTCTATAATGGTTCCTTGATATCTATAGTGGCCTTCCTACCAATAATTCCAAAAGCTGATTTATTCCTTCTAAGAACTTAAGCCTTCACTCCCACCATTTCATTTTAATAACTGTTTGGATTTGCTCAATCACTTCCATAGAAATAGCTAAGCATCAATATTTTCAAATGTCTTAAACATAATTTTTTTTTGATGATGTGATTACTTCAATTAAGAAGAAATTAGGGTTTAGGAACTTCACTTTTTCTCAATGGAATGGAGGCTAACTTTGATCAAAAGTAGTTTATGTTCCTTACATATATGTCTTCTCCTATCATTTCATCCCAAATCCCATTTACATCTTAGGTTAGAACGGGATCTCCTTGCCTATATAGCTTCTTCAATCCTTTCACACTACCTACCATGTCTATCTCAGGTTAGAAGCATAGATTTTCTTGGGGTAATATTCCCCATTCTAAGTTTATTCATTAGACTTCATGGCATAATGTCAGCTTTATTATCTTAGAAGGAGCTTTTAGTTGCAAAATGTACGTGGATATAGCTAAAGCCTTTTCTATTAAATTGTAGCAAGTTCTCAAAAAGAGTTCTAGTTTATGGACTAAGTTCATGAAAATAAATATCATGTAATAAACATCACTCTATTTGTTTTTGTCATTTGGGAGACTTTCTTATTTGGAAAATGCTATGTAACATTTAAGAACAAGTTGAGCTCTTTTTATTTGTGGGGGAGGGAGGGGGGAGGGGTCTGAGTTATTTGTTTGGGCAAAAAGAATGGATTGGTAGAGCTTCTATTGACTCTCTTCTTAACTCTTGCTCTACCTTTTATATTACAGTTATTAACTTTATGCTTCAAGTTAGATGGAACCTTCTTTAACTAATAGATACTATCCCAAAGTCTATTATTGAAGTCATCATTAAAATCCTTAATGATTTTGCATCTAGGGATTGCATTATCTTTATAAATCTAAACATGATTCTTTTTCTCTTAGTATTGTGTGAAATTATATAAGGAATAAAAACTTTGAATCTAAGCTTCTTTATTTTAGCTAAAACATGGCTCAATTGTGTGATGGAAAATATTTAGAAACCTTATTTGGATTGATTGCAACCTCTGGAAGAAAGGTTTTTCTATTCTTGCTAAATGTTATTGTTATTATCATTTGGATAGTGTGAATAATATTTTCATTAATAGTGTTATTGTGGCTAAGTTGTGGAATTAGTAAGATAACCTTCTTCACATTAATATTTTTTATCCATAATATTCTATTAATTATTGGGTTACTGAGTGGTCTGTGGCTTCTCCTGCTATAAATAATAACAATATAATTTTTTGTTCTCATTTCTCTTATTTTAAGGTTTATTTGGATGAAAAGAAACAATGTCAAATATAGATGCATTAAAATGAATTTTCATAGAATTATATGGAATATCAAGAAACATATTTTACTTCTCTTTAAAGCTAACTTAACTGATAGAACAAGCTTCATAAACTATAGCTCTATGTTCTCATATTTTAACATTCCTCAACCTCCTCATAATATATCTTATAATAATAATTTAGTCTTTTAGCTTAAAACTGACATGAGATGGACCAAAATTAACACTGATGGATCAATTTCTCCTAATCATTATCATTTTGATTACTTAATTAGAGATTCTGATGGCAACTTAATTAAACTTGTTATCGGACCTCTTAATAAATGCACCAATTTCTATGCTTAAATGTTTACCCTCAAGTATGGTTTATGCATTGTCGTTGAATTACACTTAAATAATCTTTAGATTGCATGGATGCCTCTATTGTAATCACTTTCATATCCTCTTACATGAAGTATGCCTTTGTTGGTTTATGTTTATTTTACTTAATGAGAGAGATAATTTTCCTCTTAAAGAATTTTTCAGTATAAAATCACTCTCATATTTATCATGAAGGTAATGCTTAGCTAATTTTTTTGGCTAAAATAAGGGCCAAAGCTACTCTTATTACCAATTTTACTTATGACAACTATCCTTAAGAGCTTGAAGATTTTATTAACTGGATAAAGTTTTTCATCCTTATCTTAGGACTAATCATTAATTGAGTGTGTGATGGTCTTATTTTCACTTTTATAGGTTTATCGTTATCTTCTTATAGTTTTTCCTCTTTCACTTTAATTATAGTTTCTTCTATGAAGGACGGTTGGTGGCTCCGAAATCATATGTATAGTAATGATGGGAATGATGTTATTATTAATGTTTATGGTTGGACTGCTAATTAGTAAAAGACATGTTATTTATATTGGTATTATAAATATCAACCTCTAGATATTTACTATTACCATCTTAACTTAGAGTGATCAGTGGCCCTTATGGATGGTCCACTCTATTTTAAGATGATTTTTCTGATTGACTTTTTTTTCTTATTGGATGGATGTCGGCTTTATATCCATTTTTTTTGTCCTGGTATCTTTTTTTTCTTTGTTGATTGGGTTGAGTTGTCAAATCTTGACTTAGTTGGTTTTTTTTATAGCTTATTCTTATCATTAAATAATACCTTTCTCTCTTATGTTTTTTTTCTATTTAAGATCTTACATTGCTATTTTTTCTTCATATTATATTTTTTTTCTTCTCAAACGTAAGAGTGTTAACGGTGCGAGGATCCCATTCATACCATTGCCTATTGTAGGGATGGTGGTCAACACCGTTACCCCTCTTCCCTTTCTCTTATCCTTTTACCGCCTTGTGGTTTATAGTAGTTTCTGCTCTGTTGTTTTCTTTTGTTCTCTTATCTCTTGTTAGTCTGTTGAGCCTTTTTTTTGTTGAGTATCCCTGTTCTCTATGTTTGTGTTTCTGGTTGGTTGTTGGTCACAGTCTTGCTCTAGAGAGTGCTTTATAATGTTGGCTTCCAATTTTATCTTACTTATTTGTACGCCTTGCTTTGTGAATCTTGGGGTACTTCATGGCTAGACCCTCTGGCCCTAGACTGGACATACCTAATATTTTTATCGCTATCCATTTATTTAGACACTACACCTCCAGAATCTACTACATTTAATTTTCATTATCTTTATCTTTGTTTTTTTTAAAAATTTGTTGCAAGTTTGGTTGGATAGATTTTTTTGTGTTATTTTTACTTACATATTTTATTTGAAAGTGATGTTGGATGCAACTTTGCACTCTGTCTTTTTTTAATTGGCTACTTATCTTTCTGTACTCTGACATGAATTGAAGGTTTCTCTCTTACACTTGTTCCTTTTACTTTATCCATCTCTTTATTCTATCAGCTTTCCTTTTAAACTTTTGTTTTGGGCCTTTACGGTCTTCTAGGGAGTGAGTTGTAATACTTTCACTCTCTTGGCTGGTCTCTCTAGTTTTTTCTTTTCGAGTGTTATACTTGGGTGTATAACGAGACCTCTAGCCTACCTTTGTAATCCTTCTTTAATATCAATAAAATTTTAGTTTTCCCAAAAAAAAAAACAAAAAAACAAAGTTTTCACTTAAAAGGGCATACAACTTTACATCCATTCATATCTCTACAATATTTTCTTAGCTTAAGATTATTTAACTAAGTACATCTCCATGAATTTCTAGCAATCTATATCATGACAGTCCGTATTTAGAAAAGGTTACAAGCCTAATAGAGTAGTCTTGGCATGGATGGTTGAGATGCCCGTTTAAACTTTTCCTAACTTTTTCTTCTACCTCTGCCATTCCTATATTTATCCAATTAATATTTTATCTTAGAATGAATCTATATTTTTTTCTTGATTTGAGATCATAATACGCTTCAATGATATAATTTAAGTATTGAAAAAGTATACCACAGCCACACTAAGTATACCTTCATACCTAAATGATGTCAAAATTGATTATCAGAAATGACAGATCTAGAACAAGTTCGTTCAATTATATATATATTTATTCTTTTTTCAGATAACACTCCCCAGTTCACGGAAAATATTTGCATACATAAGACGTATGCAGCGCTGTGTACGTCAAGGGTTATTCAGGGGGTACAGGAAAGTTATATCCGGGTTATAACCCCCTGTAACCTCCGTGTAACTTATTTATTTTTATGAAGCTAAAGAAGCACGGAACTCATTTGTAGGTTACAAGGTTACAGAGGAGCATAACCCCCCTGTACCCCCTGACTAACCCCTGAAAGTACGCAGCGCTGCGTACGTCCTATGTACGGCTAAAGAAGCACGGAACTCATTTGTAGGTTACAAGAAGATTACAGAGGAGTATAACCCCCCTTACCCCTGACTAACCCCTGAAAATACGCAGTGCTGCGTACGTCCTATGTACACAAATATTTTCTCCAATTTACAGAAAATGATGCATTCTGCAATTTAGACCGTCAGAATATACATTGGGTGGTTCTGACTCATTTTTTTTCACGCTTAACCTCATGACCGAGAAAAACATTAACAATTCCATCTCCCTGAAAACAGTGATATTACGATCTCTTAATGATTAAATAATACGAGGTGGCATGCACTTCCTCGTGTCGGAATGGGAAACCTAACAAGGGAGTTTGGGCCCTTAAAACGCATTATTTTGTAATTGCAGACGCATCTGCATCAAAAGATTCATCATGCCAAATATTTTTTTTTTTCTCTTTGCAAAATAATGGCAAAAAGTCTAAATTCATTTAAATTATTCAGCACATCAACAAATCAAGAAAAAAATAATAATAATCAATTGAGAATTTCAATAACAGTTATCATCCATGATACATCATCCTGCCAGACAAGGAAGAAAAATATATAAATCAAATACAGGTCTTTGTTACCAAGATAACCAACTCCAAAAAGGTAACAGGAAATAGCACAAACGAACAAATCAGCACAGAGGTTATTACAAGATTAAGCCAATCAAATAATACAAAATGATTTGATAAAAGGAACGTGCTAAATAAAACACGGGCATTTACATTTAAAACAAATACATAAAGAAATCCTCTTTCTCCAGCAAATTCTTAACCAATGCATACAAGCAACTCTACATTCTAATAGAACCGCGAACCCCAAACCATTGATGGAAGGTAAGGACCGTCGTAATAATTGGAGCACCAAATATAAACACAACAGTTTCCATCTATCCAAAGGGATTTCCTCCAACGGATGATGCGGATGGATTAAGTGAACTAAGATGAGAGTTTGTTCGAGCTTGAAGCTGGTTGCTGGTTATAACGCCGTAAGGATTGGCCTCACTTGCAACCCCAGCACCTTGATTCCTGCAGTACAGTAAACAAAAACAATATTAAGTAATCATTTTAGGTCACTTGAAATATGTGTATATGTATTTATATATGGTAGATAAGAATAAAAAAGCAGCCATTGATTGTAGGAGGTTATCAGAATGAAATCTAACTTTTATGCAACTTTAAGCAGGTAATGCCTGCTACAAGTGGGATTTCAGCAGCGAAATAAGAGAAACAGCTTGTAACAAGAAGAAATACATCCTAGATAAAAAGAATAATGGTGCGATGAAGAATTAGGAATATTGTGGTTAGTGTGAAAACGACATCATGAGCATTCATTTGTTACAAGAAAGATCATGCAAGGAATGGATGGAAATAATAAATAAAGAAAATGACAAATAAATGCTTACACTGTTGAGAAAAAGCTGTTAGGAAGCTGATGAGGCATATCATGTGGAACTTGCTGCATTGTGTATGGACCTGAAGGTTGTTAATAGTTAGCTCACCTAATGGAGATGATGCGTGATTGAGACCGAGGAAAAAAACACCGACACGATACCTTGCAATGCAGATGATGGATAAGAGAACTGTTGTGGCGCCCATTGTGAAGGACCGCCTGTTACCTTAGAACTATTGGGCAAGGATAATGGATTACTCGTGTTTGGCATAACTCCTTGGACATAAGCTGATGGGTGAAGCTACAAAAATAATGAAAAATGCGTATAAAATAAACAGTACAGTAGATCACCCTATCATTATTATACAGCCATAATTGTTCAAATTAAGTTTTGGCAGAGGCGGCAAGAGTTATAAAATGATAACATTGCTAGGGAAAAGCTCAAGTTCTGGGAAAATAATCAATCAACAAAGAATGCAACGAGTAACCCAAATATTAATAAAGAGATCAAGCATCACAAAAAGCCACAAATGCATGTGGTTCTGTCCGAATAAGATCAGATTCACATGAGAGAAGATTGGACTTAAGAATAAAGAAAAACGCCAAATCTATCAGATGATCTCACCTGATTGATTGATGTAATGCATCATGTGGATCAAAAAAATCAGGCCAATTATTCAGATAAAAGAGCCAAAACTAAAGCCCAAGAGATCAAATAAAAGATTTAACAACAAAAGCCCAGGAAAAAAAATCCAATTTATACAAAATATTAAATTTAATTTTAATTTTTATTATTTTGCAATTTCTTATTTCACATTGGGACATTTTTCCAGCCATTTATGGAAATAATAACGTAGAAATAAAACATTATAATTGATTGGAACTCCCATTAATGGTCAACCATCCTCCCTTCCCTCTTTTTACCCCTTTTTTTTACCTACAAATTTGGCTTTCCAAGAGTTTTGAATACGTATAAATTATAGTTAGCAAGAATTGTAATTTTCAGCTTGATATGAATTGTCTTGGTGGGAATTGTTCTTCACTTGGCGTTCAGTTGTTTCAAGTGCAAGACTTTTTATTTAATTATATGATAGTAGATAGTAATCTTTATTTCTTCAAGTAACTCGTTATTGCTCTCCAACACTTTCATTAAACATTTCGTATCTTTTCTACCATTTCATAAGCATTCTCAAAGAGTAAAAAACCAGCAACCATCGCACAACCATTTCAAGCATCTGTATAAGCTCTCAACCAAACTGGAAAACAATAAGAGCTGGTCTTATTCCATACACCAAGATATCTATCCACTTAAGCTCCACCTAGTCTTATTCCAGATCATACTTTCACATCATAAGCTAATCCTCCACCAACATTTTCACTCATTTATTCTCTAAAGTGACCTTCAAAAGCATCCTAAGCTATACTAATCTGAATTAATCTTAGCATTCCTTCTATTTAGACATTAAATAATTGATTCATGGCCATTTTATCTATTAATATCACCAAAATGCTCAACACCACAATCATACTTAATAGTAAAAAATAATAATTTTGAACATTACCTTTTTATTTGCCGCAATAAAGTTTACAAGATGTAAGTTTATTACTATCTAGGGAAGAATCAATGTCAAGTCTATGATAACAACTTCCAAAGTCCTCACCAAATGGACTAATTGGTACCTATTATTTCCGTCAGAACTTCTTCAACAAGGCCTGCGCCTAAAATTTGTGAGACACTATTAAATTTGAGGTATTTGTACCCGACTTCGCAAAATTGCCTAAACTGCTAAAAAAGAGCCGAAGATATAAGAGGTATTTGTACCCCACTTTTCACCTAGAAGTTCATCTAGCATAAGTGATACCAGAAACAAGGTAAAACACAAATATGTACTTCGGAAAATACAGAAAACAGGAAAAAGATTACTGAAAATCCCAAGAAAGGGAATAATTCATAAACGGTAATGAATGGTGGTTGATCACCACCTGGGCACCACTCCAGGATACTGAATATATTTCTTAACCCGGAAGAATATGAGAATTCTTACAACCAATCAAAATACTCTCCATACTCAGCTCACACAAAACAACCCCTATTTATAAAGGCTGGACTATCCTAATTACAAGCATGCCACACTAAAACATAAAGACACAACAACAAATTGAAACAACATGTATCAAGACATAAACTGAAATAAAACTCTATCTCTCGCATCATTCTCCAAGGGTTGGCAAGATTCCTTCCTATTGAACAATCTCAAAATATGATTCCCAATGCGCAACCAACTAAGAGACACTGAAAAATGGAGCCACTCTAGTCTCCAGGTAGGTTAAGTTTCATGATCCAAGCATCTTCCAACATTTTATCTTCAAACACATCCTTCTTTGGAACCAAGATAGTCGGAACCACACACAGGCTAGCACTAAGTCACCCCGATCCTTTGTGGTTCAGCTCATTCAATTGGCGTTGAAGTTCCTCATGCTCCTTTGGAGACATCCTATATTCAAATTTATTGGGCATATGACCGAACCAGGCACAAGGTCAACATGATGTATGTCCTCAAATTGTTGTATTAAATTGCATTAATCCCTGCACCTCGGAAGGAGTTGCAGGTAGCTGTATGGAACTCTCAGTTATGATCAAGAGTTACTTGCTCAATAGTTGTCTCCTGAAGATTTTTCAAAAGCAATGAAGTAAAAGTGTTGATTTTAGGCTCTGTCTAAATCTCGCTTTTCATAGGCACCAAAATGGTTTGAATTACCTCTTTGTTAAAGGAAAATGTGTTACCATACACATCGTAAATTTTACAGCAATCATATTGCCAAGACCAACC